TATTATTATTGTTCTTATTCTTATTACTTTTGTTGCTGTTGCTCGTTGCGCCCAGGCGTGGTGCCCTTACCAACTTGGCAGGCGAAGCCCGTGCCGTACCCAGCGTCCTCTCATCCTGCCGGGGTCACACAACACCCAGGACACCTAACCAGATCCCGGACTTAGATTGCCCCGAACTCTACTTGGAGTTTCATGGGTAGTTATAAGTAGGGTTATAAGTCCCCAAATATGGGTTATAAGTATAGTTACCCTACTTGTAACTCCACTGATAACTATCCATGAACCTGCAAGTACTCTTCTGTATCACTCCGAGTCTTGCGACCACGTCACTGGCAGTACAGAAACCTTACGCAAGACTGCCACGCAGTCCTTTGCTTGCTTGTTGACTCTTGCGCATGTTGTCTCAGTTGTTTCTCTAAGCTTCTGGGGCCTTTTGAAGGCCCTGCAGTCGTGTGAATTTGTGGGTGGAAGCTCTACTTTCTAATGCGGGCCTGTAAGAGTCGCTCCTGATGGACTCTCTGCACAGAGTCTGCGATGCAGCAGAGGATCAAGGCTGCGTGCAGTCAGCGGTGGTTTCGGATTTGACGGTGGTGATGCTTTGAACAGCTTCCATTTGAATTGTTTCGCCAACATTGCATCTCTTGTGAATCTCGGGGATGTGCTATATATAGATGTATAGCTGTAGCAGGGCCAGCGCAAAACGCGCACGCCGCAGCAATACAACTTCCCTTGCACCATGCACCATTGAGCAATTATTTACTTTGGGCAGCGCTGCACTTCTTTGAGTGTGGCAGCAGGAAAAACTCATAAATCTAAGCGGTGTCTTTCCTGGTCCTTAGTATCAGGCTTGTGCGGAGCCATGGGTGGTGCACAGGCTTCGCTGTGCTCCTGCTGGGCCACCTCCCGCCCCAACCCCAATACAATGTTGCCAACACACACTAGCGAGGCCTCGGCAAGGGCGGCTTCGGCTGACGTAGGCGAAGACGATGAGGAGGTGGACTTCGATCTTGGCACACGTAACACCTTCTTCGAGTATCGCCAGGTGGCACGGATCAAGAAGCGCAGCCGCAGCATGCCAAAAGATGTACGACCGTGCAGAGACAAGTGTCTTGTCTCTGCACGGTCGTACATCTTGCAAGGGCAGGAAACATGCAGGAGAATGCTGGCCACCATGTTAGTCCTGTTCCCGAACTTCCGCCCTTGGATGACAGGTTCGAACCTTTCCTAACCCCGTTTCGGCAGAGCGGCGCTGGAAGCGCGAGGTGCTTGGGCGGCTGGCGTGGCGTCGTGTGCCTGCCAGGCCTCATAGCTGCGCGCATACCTGCCCAGAATGCTGCCAGCTGTGGAACAACAGCTGGCGACTGGCAGCAGCTGATCCTGTGAGGGTTCCGGGCCATGCTGACCCCTGCAGGGCTCTACAATAGGGGTCAGCTAATAGTATGCCAAGACTTCCCGATCGTGCGGCTGTGGGTTGGCAATGAGGCACAGCCCGGTGCACGCAGACCGTGGAAAGAAGAAGCGCTGCGCCGCCGCCAGCCGGGCTGTCCGGCTTCAGAGAAATTTGCGGCTGGAGACGTCCGTGATTGCTACACTTCAAGCTCCGAATTCTCTGCCATTACCTGGTAACCTCTCCTCACAAGCCGCGGCTGATACAGCGTCATTTTCCGTCTGGGTACTTGCAGTGGCTCATGAGCCAGACGGCCAGGCGTGGTTCCTGGTTGCCATCTCCGCAGAAGACAGGCTGAAGCTTGTCGCCGGTTTCCCGCTAATTACGATGTTTGCCGGCCATGAGCTGCAGAAAGCATCAGCCGCCGTCCTGCCTGTTCCGATCAGAGCCGCACACGGGCCAGAGGCTGCCTGAACAGCAGTTGTGCTGGTGAGAGCCAGTGGCGGGTAGCAAGAAGTGAGGGCAGACCGCGTTGTATCCCGTTGTAGGGGTCACCTCCCTTGTCTTTGAGGCTTTAGAGCTTTCCGAGTACAATCTGCAAAGCAGCGTTGTGGATCTGAATCTAGCGCTACTTGATTGCGGCGGTTTACAGATTCTCGGGACGATGCGCTTGGAGAGGGCTCATCGGAGAGGTTGACTGGGACCTTGCGCCGAGGCAGCAACCTCCTTGGTTGGGGCCGTTCTGATCCGGCTCCTTCCGCGATTCCCTCCGTCACCACCTGAGCCGCCCTTGACTTCCAACGTCAGGCCACGGCATGTACTCCAGACCCCAACCCTTCATTGAGGGCAGGCCTAAACCCTAAACGGGTTCTGATATCTCAGGACGGCACTCGCTGCGAAAGCTGCGGCGAGCCGTTTGGGATCCTGAGAAGGCGCCGCCCATGCGACGAGCCGGCCCCCACGATTCTGCACTCCCATCGATCGTGCAGTATGAGACGTAAAGTGTATATACATTCATGTACACACTCGTCATAATAAAGCAGCCCAACACGTTATGTACGTTTGCATGGATGGATGGAAGGAGGGAGGCATGGATGGATGGATGGATGGATGGATGGATGGATGGATGGATATAATATTGTGCAGGTTAATATTGTGCAGGTGTTTAACAATCTTTTGCCGTGTAATACATTACAGATGGCTTATGATAGCTTCATTGGTAATTCATTAGTGCACAAGATATGAACAGATGCCAACACATGTAGGTAACCATAGACTGGTAAACAGTCTATGCATGCCCATGTCCCTACCTACCTACCTACCTACCTACCTGCCTGCCTACCTACCTAAAGAGCTGGCTACCTACCTACCTGCTTACCACGCACGTACGTACATACATACATTCCTAGATTTCCTTTGCATGTTTTGATGATCCCTGGTTCATGGTCGGGTCTTCTTGGGGTGTTTGTCATCATCAGCATCATCAGCATCATCAGCATCATCATCATCATCATCATCATCATCATCATGCTCATCATCACCACCACCACCATCATCATCATCATCACCATCATCATGATCATCATCATGATGATGTTCCTTTCTTGGGTCAATCGTCGCTGAGGGCCTGTCAGGAACGCGACCCTCGTGACGGTTGCATTTTTAATACCCTCGTATCGGAGTCGTGGTTGGAAAGTGTCCACTGTCACAAGGATCGGGTGTGTTTAAGACGAGATTCTCGTGACAGTTGACGGTTTTGGAGACGCCATGTGTGCATTGCTCAGAGTCGCAAGGAGTCGGCATGTTTGGAGCCGCCGGGATCATGTGTGTGTGTGTGTGTGTGTATGTATATATGTGTATATATATACACACATGATGTATATGCACACACATACATTCACACATACACACGCACACGCACACACAGAGACATATATACACATTCCGAGTCACATTCCACATAAACAGACGTTCAGGCATTTGTATTTCAATCGCCGGTCGGTGCAGGCGGCAGACTTGCGGTTCCTGCGACCGCTACTTGTGTGCCTCGTGCCTGGGCAGCTCCTTTGCTATAGCCCTGCCGGCATGTTTGCCAGGGTTGAGGGTTCAGGGGTTGAGGAGTGCACGGAACTTGGGGGTTTTTAGAGAATCGTAAGGAAAAGGGATCCCTAAATGGGTTTGGGGATCTTGAAGATGAAGATCTCGGGGCTTCGAAGGTTTAGGCCTTTGCATCTAGGGTCTTGGGCTGTCTTCAACCATGTGCCGATCCAGGGTCAGGGTTTTAGGGTCTGAAGGTTCAAGACACGAGGCTACATAGTTACCAATCCTATTTCCAGTTATACTTATATAGTGGAATATACCACCCAAAACCCTGTTCCAACTATTGAGGCCCCTGTATTAGGCGTGTTGGTTTGGAGCCTGGGTCGGTTTGGTTTGTCGGCATTTCTGCAGCACATCCCCACCTTCGGAGCCTCACTTCCAGCAAGTCCAGGCAGGCATTGGGTGTTTCTGTGGGTCGCAATGCCCACAGTGTCGGGAACTTGGCCATCGCAGTAGCCGAAGCCTCAGCATGTCCCGTTCAGGATGTGTTGCCTTTTCTGCTGTCGAAGCCATCAGGTGAGTTCCAGCTCATCCGCCCCAAAATGGAGGTTGGAATTACGGCTCGACTTGTGCGATCGTGGAGCTTTTCCCCGGCCTTTTCCATGAGGACGGTGTGAGTGCAACCATCATCGTGCCCAAAAAGGCTGGGAGCTGAGAGTGCAGTTTGGCCACGCTGTACCTGTCGCATTACGTCGTGCATACTTGCACTTGGCCTTGTTACTTCTTGCCGAATCCCAAATCCTGAACGGCACCAGGTTAATTCCAAAGGAGAACAGGCAGCAGCCCGCGCAGACAACCGTTACCAGAAACAAGCAACAACGCACTTGTTCGGTTTTGGGAGGTGAGCATTCCATTTTCAACAGTATAGTTGTCGTTGCGTCTGTTTTGCGTTTGTCTTTATCTTCTTCGGTGGAAGGGGTCCGGCAGGACTCCTTGCTTGCTTTGATGCATTCCCCCAGCAAAAAACCGACGACAAGCCGCACGGAAATGACCCTAAACCCTAAACCCTAAACCGTGAGTTCGCGCGCGGAAACGTGGGGCAAACGCACGAAGGCGAAGTAATGCCAAGGCGCAGGTGCCCCAACGTCTAGGACATTTTCAGGTGGGTAGTTACCGTTATAGGAGCCTTATAGAAGGTCTATATATACCTTGAGAACCCAAAACCCACTTTTTTGTAGGTTCTTATTACAAACCCTAATATGGGATTTATAGGGACCCTACAAAAAGTAGGTTCTGGGTTCTTAAGGTACCTTATGGAAGCCTTACAGAAGCCCTATATACCCTAAACTCCGCACTTGTAGTTTCCTTTAACGATGCCTTTTGTTCCCGCTGGCCGCTGATCCCCTCAACTCCATGAGGCTGGTCTCTTCGCCATGGGTGACAGGCGGGCCTTCACATCTTGGGAGGGAAACCATCACCATGTAGCTTTCCCGAGATCCCTTCTAATCCCATAAATCTCGAAATGTAGAAGATGTTGAACCACATATTAAACTAAATAACATGTAGGTTAACAGTAGAGTCAATCTTGATATGAATATTCGTCATCTAATATTAATGCTACACCCTACCCTGAACCCTCTAGGCTTGAAGCCACCAGTCTTACGTGAGTCGCTGCGAGGCGGAAGATTCCTGCGTGGCTGTCCTTGCGAATCCCAGGCGCATGTTTGGTTGCTTAAGGATCCTTTGCCTCATTGTCGAAACTATCTTCGTGTTAGCATTTGTTTGCCTTACAGAAGGCGGGTGTTGCAATTCGGCCGATTTGTCTTAGAGTCATCATCGAGATCGTTGTGATTATGTTCAGCAATATCAACATTATCAGCCTCACCCTCATCACCTGCATCTCTTCTTCGCCGCGGCCGGCATCATCAGCAGCATCATCGGTCCAATGCCATCGCCGCCGCAGTCGTCGTCATCGCTGGCACTACGTCACCATCATATCCTCGGCATCTTTCTTGAGCACTCGTGCTCTAAGTCGTCATGGGTTGCCACCATCGCACCAGCATCTGTATCAAGTTCATAATGCCCCATCATCATCACCACCACAATGATCACCACCACCGTCATCACCAGCTTCGTCATGGTCATTATCACTCTCACCATGATGACCCGTTACCATCGTCAACGTCATGACCACTGCCTTGACGAATCCGTTGTGTCGTTCTCACTGCTGCTCTTTTCGGATCGCATTTGGGTGGTTGTCAAAATTATGGTCCCTTTTTGGGGTCCTTATTATAATACGGCACCTATTATTTAGGGTACCCCCAAAGAGACCATAATTTTGACAACTACCCATTTCGTGATTGTGCATCAGTGTCGAAGCCAGCAGCTATCATCACGTAGATGGTCGCAGTATTCTTGATTTTGTCCTAGTCATCATCGTTGAACTTGGGTTTACTCGAAGAGATGCGTGTGGTCATCAAAAGGGCACGAAATCCTAAACCCTAAACCTCGAAAACCCCAAACCCCGAACCCCTGAACCCTAACCCTAACCCCAAAACCCCAAACCCTAAATCCTGGACCCTAAACCCCAAAGCCCCACAACCCTAAACCCTAAACCCTAAAACCTAAAAGCCCTAAACCCTAAACCCTAAACCCTAGTAGACCCTAAACCCTAAACCCTAAACCCTAGACCCTAAACCCTAAACCCTAAACCCTAGACCCTAAACCCTAAACCCTAAACACCAAACGAGACCTTTGTTGGGCGAGCCTGGAGCAGCGCGCCGGCCAACCGCTGGAGGCCGCGGAGATTCCGCTCGGCCAGGTGGGGCGACCCAAAAATCAAGGTTTAGGGTTTAGGGTTTAGGGTTTAGGGTTTAGGGTTTAGAGTTTAGGGTTTAGGGTTTGGGGTTTAGGGTTTAGGGTTTAGGGTTTAGGGTTTAGCGCAATGTAGGGGTTTTCATGATTCGAACAGCGTTTGGGGTTGAAAGAAAGCATTTTGGGGGATTTCATGATTCGGATCGGGTTCAAGGCTCCGCGGGCCTTAATAATTCGAGTCAGATTTAGGGTTCAGGGTCAAGGGTTCGCAATACAGGGGTCTCAGTAGTTCGAACCGGGGTTGAGGGTTTAGGGTTGGTAATATAGTGGCCTTCAGAGTTCGAATGGTTCACGCTTAAGGGTTTTTAGGGTGTGTAACATCGGGCCTTCGTAATTAGAGCAGGGTTCCTGTGCAGACAGGGTAGGGCTCCTAGACGGCTCTAGAACGGTTACTAGAAGCTTGAGTACTAGACTTGGGTTTAGGGTTTAGGGTTTAGGGTTTATACTTTGAAAGCAGACTATAAGGTGTACGTTAAGGGTTTAGGTATTCGGGCCGTTTATAGTTATAACAGCTTTCTGGAGCATATTCTAATTTGAACATGAGCATCTGAAAAAATCCGACGGACTAATGTTCGTAGTGACCCAGGCCCCTGCAGCAAGGGCGAAGGTGGCAGACCGTAATACAGAAGCCTAAATTAGTATTGGGGGTTCCTTATTCTAACTATAGCATAATGGACCCCAAACCCTATTCTAATTATTAAGGCCCCTAAACCCTAAACCCTTATAGTAGCCCTTACAGATCCCCTTAAAGATTCCTATTCTAATTAAGGCGTCTCGTTTAGTGATGCCGGAAGCGGCCGTTTCAGTCTACAGCTGAGGGCAGGACGTCGGTTTCTTGCTTCGGCTCATTGTGCCGCAGAGTTCGCCATGGTGATCCGGTTTAGGGTTTCGGGTTTAGGGCTGAGGGTTTAGGGTTTAGGCTTTAGGGATTCATGGATGCCACTGTTGTTGCTTGCAGCTTGCTTGTACAAGGACTCTAAGGATCCATTGTAAAACTAGTTGAAGCTGTTGCGACCGCTACATGAAAACTTTCGAGTTTTAAACGAGAGGGATGATAAGCGCAAAGTCTTTCTTGGTTCCGAAAACCCCTGAACCCTAAATCCCTAAACCCGTAAACTTTGAACCCTTAAACCCCTAAGCCCTAAACCCCTTACCCCTAACCCTAAACCCCAAAGCCAAGGTGCTTCACGTCCGAAACACCGGTCTCATGCTCGAGCTGGTCATCAAGGCCTTCTCTCCCGAAGCAGCCTTGACCCGGACTGCATCATAATACTGTAGTATAATCACATTCTATCAGGGGATACTCTTACTAGATCCATCTAATTCCTACATACTCCTATGCCCCTAAACTCTGAACCTCAAGCTCCAAACTGCCCAACTAGGACCAGCCAGCGTTGCAGCTCGAGTTCGGTTCTGCCCTCAGAGCGCTTGCGGCCAGTTGCAGATGCTCGTATGGTACTCATACCTGGACACAAGTGTCTTGTAAGTCGTGGACACGCCAGCCGACCCACAATAGTTCCTCTGTCATTGCTGTGATGGTGCCCGTTGTGGCCATCGTCAGCATTACATGGAGGAATGTTGTTGGTTATTATAGCCCATAGCCGATCATTACCAAGATCCCATGACAGCCTAACATCGCGACCAGTCACCTTTCAGGAACAGCCGAGGAGCGCAACGCGTGGGAGAAGTACTTGAACCTGGCTCTCGAGGCGTCGCCCGGGCTGATGGGCCCCAAGCCGCCACAACAAGGAGTAGCTTGAAAGTTAGAAGTTAGAAAAGTAACGGCATCGTGACCGCAGTCTTTCAGACAGCTCGTCATAGCAAAGCGGGATCATACAGTCTTCGGGAGTTGCATCTTGGACGGCCACGGTCATGTGCGAAATTGAGATGGTAAGGATTCAGAAATTAAGAGATGCCGCCCCGAACGTCTCGAGCTTTTGGGCCTTCGCACGGGAATTATCTTGCTCAACGCCGAGACGCCGAGCTCATCGACCACGTGAAACCTTGAAACCCCCGCCCCCCAAACGAAAACCTCAAACTTAAACCCTAAACCCCAAAAGCCCTGAAACCCTAAACCCTAAACCCCCTTGGGCTCCAGCCCTCAGGCGCGAATCCCCGAAGCCCCCCACACCCTAAATCTTCAAGCCCCTACTTAAAGGATCATGGGACTTAGTAAGTAGGGTTACAACTAAGGTAACTATACTTATAACCCCAATTAGGGGACTTATAACCTTACTGACTAAGTTCCATGATCCTCCAAGTAGATCCAGAAAGTCTTAGAAGCCTAAGGCTGCAGCCCCTTGCCCCAGCCTAAAACCCCAAGCCCTCAAGCTTTGGCAAACAGAGCCCCCCATCATCTGAGCCCAAGCCCTCGAGCCCACACCCTAAAGCGCTCGAAGCCCTAACCAAGAAATCTTGAATGCACCCAGAAGACAGGTCCTGGTTCCTGAAAGCGAGCGAGCGGAGCGAGATGCAGCGAAGGCGAGCAGCAAACAAAAGGGGTTCAGGTACTTAAAGGACCATGGGACTTAGTAAGTAGGGTTATAATTAGGATAACTATACTTATAACCCCAATTAAGGGACTTATAACCTTACTTACTAAGTCCCATGATCCTCCAAGTATAGGGTTTAGGGTTCAGGGTTGTGATGTGTGGTACCACTGAGTTCGGTAAAAAAAGAAGCTTGCATACAGTATACTTCTATACGGTGATGTTATAGCTTCACATGTGCGCGTAGTACAACGTATTGTTTCAACGCTATTTGTGTCCATCGATATCGTAGGGTGTTTGGCCACTGAGGGTAGGTTTACAGATTCGATAATGGGCATAAGAGGGTTTCTCCCCAGCCTTGAAGCAACCTCTTCCAGATGGCGTTCTTTCAACGGCCCCCCTAGATCCTAAACCCTGAAACCCTGAACCCTAAACTCTGAACCCAAGCCCTCAACCCTAAGCCCCAAACCCTAAACTCATGATAGAAAAGGTCCTCCAAGCAAAAACTCATAATAAAACCCTAAGTCCGAAACCCTATAAGCCGCATAGGCCCTACTTGGAGGATCATGGGACTTACTAAGTAATGTTATAAGTCCCCTAATTGGGGTTATAAGTATAGCTACCTTAGTTATAACCCTACGTACCCTAAACCCTAAACCCTAAACCCTAAACTCTAAACCCTACTAAACCTTAAACCCTAAACCCTAATTATAATCCTCAGTAGACCCAAACTCTTCGCTTCAGGCATCGCACAGAGCGCAGGAGGTGGAGGAGCGCCGGGCCCTGAACGAGGAGCCCGCAGCCGAGGATTTGTCGGTTCTTAGGAAGTACTGAAAGGACTCTGTAGGGGCTTTGGGTTTAGGGTTTTAGGGTTTAGGGTTTAGGGTTTAGGGTTTAGGGTTTAGGGTTTAGGGTTAGATACGGAACTTTAGGGTTTAGGGGTTTGGGATTTTGGGGAGGTTGCAGTGGATTTCTACTGGTGTAAATGGGTTTTGTGAAGGCTGTATAAAGCCAGTTGAAGGTCGGGTTTGCTGAAGGACTTGGGGGACTTGGTAAGTGCGGTCAGTGCAAATACAATAACGACACCATTGGCTGCGAAAGATCCCAGTTCAAGTTCTCATAAACGTAGGGGCCTATACAATTACCAATACTATTTTGGAGGCTCCTTTTTACAATTATAGTATAACGGGCCCCTATTCTAACTACTAAGGCCCCTATATTAACCCCCTGCATGTTCCCCCAAACCCTATTCCAACTATCAAGGCCCCTACATAAGCCACATTGATAAGCAACCGTCTGCCTTATCTTGAATGGCTCTCACAGTGGCGAGTCTCTTTGACAGCAGCCTTCACGTGGAACGCCCCTTGGTTTTCCAGCCTCAACCCATAATCCGAAACCGCAAGTCCTGAACCATACATCCCCTTAGCTCTTTCTAAAGCCCTGTGAAAAGAAGCCTTAAACCCCGACTGCTATATGCTCCCACAAGCCCCGTTAGCTCTCTTGACCATGCCTTAAGAACCCAAAACCTACTTGTTGTAGGGTCCCTATAAATCCCATATTAGCCTACAAAAAAGTGGGTTTTGGGT